TTCTTCTTCTTCTTCTTCTTCTTCTTCTTCTTCTTCTTCTTCTTCTTCTTCTTCTTCTTCTTCTTCTTCTTCTTCTTCTTCTTCTTCTTCTTCTTGATAGAAACGTGGATGAAATACTGGTAGAGACTTGTCGTCGTAACCGCCGAGATATTAGTAGTGAATGAGTCTTGCCACGATCTTAGCGTCCTCTTCCGGAAATCTGCCAAACTGGGGCAATCATGCTTCAAGGTCACAAAGGAGGTACGTCGGTCGGTTTCCCATTGTCGTCAGCTTCCGAGGGTGGCGTGGGCATCGTTGTGTCGGGAGCGGCAGCAATTTCTACCTCATCCATCACAACATCGTCCTTCCTCTTTCTTTGGTTGACAAAGCCGGGATCAGGGGACGCCCAAGCGTAGTTAACCCACTGAGAGCCGATGACGCCCCGGATCCCTTTGGCCAGTTCGCGGATAGTCTGACGGCGCGCTAGAGACCACTCGTGATCACTGACCGCGTCCGAGGGGGTGATTGTCCCGGGTTCGGCGTCAAGGTCGTCGGCTAGACCGTCGAGCACGCTTCTCCACACCCGCATCGTCTCCTCGAGCTCTTCCACCCGACTGACACCCATGACACTGACCCCGAGTCTCTCCCGGGGCAGGCTGAGAGCGTGGCCATAAGACGTGTCGGCGTTAGCCAGCGGGCTACCCAAGGCACCTCCTTTGGCGCCCTCTCGAAGCCAGTTTTCCAGGGCGAATCTGACCGCGACAACTTCGAGCTTTTCCCCTCTGGCCTCGGCCCATTTGGCCGCGTTAATGCAGGCTTGTCGGAGCCCATCCGGAGCAGGATGCCAATTGCCCATGGCACCCACGGGAGGTCCAGTCGATCTCAACAGACCCATTCCAAGGGGACTGGCATTTGTCACGACATCCACGCCGGCGTTGACCAGACGGTGGAGACCGTCCGACAGGAGCCGAGTGTTCTGGAGAGTGAAATTCGCGTACGATTGAACAATGTCCAGCGGTTCTCCCGTGTCTCGCAGAATCATTTCGGCCAGCTCGCAGAGGACCAACACAGGGTAACCGGAGATGCCGACATACTTCACGGTGCCTTCTTCGTCCCGAATCCGACGGAGCTCCCGTACTGCGCAGAGGACTTCGTGTGGCGAAACAAATTCGCAGTCATGGCAATAGACCACGTCGAGGTAATTGGTCCTGAGACGCTTGCAGCTTTGCTGGACACTTTGTCTGACCCAAGACGGGGAGTAGTCGAAGGCATCAGCGGCGATGCGGCCAACCTTTGTGAGAATGAAGTACTGATCCCGGGGATAATGGCGTCGGACTAGGTCGGTGTCCAGAGCAGTCCCGAGAATCTCTTCCGCTGGTCCATAGTAAGGGGAGGTGTCGAAAGCATGGACTCCTTGGGCGAGAGCCTTTTGAACCAGAGATGTTGGACCCAATGCATATGGGTCAACATTGTACTGCGGGATCCAATGTCAGGCACAACACTACATTCAGCCTCGACGGACGAGGTGTCGCCTTACCTGATAATTGAAGGTGGCGGTCCCGAAGACCAGAGGGGGGAGCGAGTTAGACAGTGGCGCCTTTGGCCTGGCCATGGCTCTGTCAATGTCGAGGTCCAGGCGGAGAAGAGGAGATGGGACAGAGAGATGGACTGCAGGCAGGGGGAGGAGCAGGGTGCCCATGTAATACCTTTTTGAGTGACGGGCGGTCAAGATCGGGAATTCTGCTGGGACGCGAGGGATGGTGAATGGATGACACGTTCTTTTCTTTTTTGGTTCGATTCGATTCGGAAATTTTGGGAGAGATGGCGACAGTCGGTGGGGCATGCAAGGGATCGAAGCGGCAGCAAGGGAAAGACAAGGAAAGGCTCCCGCGGCGGATCTCGAGCTAGAGAACAACAAGGAGCTGGCGAGGTGGATTTGCGGCTGGATTGGTTGGAAGCACCCTGGATAATCCCTCTCGATCTTGGGTGATATCGCCTCGTATCTCTCCCCTCGGTGTGTACATAGATCACTAGCTATGCCAGTGGTGCTTCGGTGGCTAATGGAATCTGGAACCCGCCCACCACTGTTGTCGTATCGTGGCGTCGTCTATCTCATTTCTCAATATACCAGGCCAAGTCAGTCTCCGGATCCAGCTCAAAAGCGGTAAACCCATTGCCCAGAAACCTGAACATGTTCTTGCTGCGGTACTCGATCTCGAAATCCTCCGTGCGCAGCTCCCCGCCCACGATGCGCTTGTACAGCATGCCGCTGCCGGCAAACAGGGCCGTGACCCTCCCATTGACCTGGTTGCGCTTGTACCAGCTTTTGCAGGGGGCCGTCCACACAAGCGACTTGTGGATTTCGTCCGAGTATACGTTCAGTTGTTCCACTACAGCTGACTTGGGAACGAACGACTTGATGTCCTCCTCGGCCATCTTGCGTAGCCATCGCACGAAGTAGTCGCCATTCCAGTTCATCGCCTCGAGCAGCGACCCATGGCCCGCCACCGCGTTCGGGCCCAACACGGTGAAGTAATTCGGCATGTTGGCCACGGCAATGGAAAAGTACGATTCGGGGGTGTCAGCCCATCTCTCGCGCAAGTCGACCCCGTCGCGCCCGATGGTCGGATAGCTCGGGCGGAACGACACGTCGAAGCCAGTGGCACACACCACTACATAATCATTAGTATATCGTGTTGCTAGTGAACCACCAAGCGACAGAGAGGCACCTACCGACGTCGACCTCGTGCACCTTGCCGTCGGCCGTGTGGACTGCGTCCTCGGTGATCAGCACAATTGGGCTCTGCGTAATATCACAGTTCGGCAGGGTAAATGACTCCAAGTATCCCTCACCAGGGGTGATGCGGCGGCACCCCAGTGACCATTTTGGAATCAACATCTCACATAGCCGTGGATCGTGTCCTAGTCTCTCGCTCATTTGCGCCCGGGCGAGGTCCATTGCTTCTTGATTCGCTGCCGAGTCTTTGATGAACTGCAACCTTGTGTCAGAAATGCTGCGACCAGCATGCCTAGCTGCTTACCATTCGAAACGCCTTGTTCGTTCTCCGGATCATGTCCCGGCGATGGTTTCGCATCTTTTCGGGGTTTTCTCTGAAAGCCCTCTTCTCTTCTTCCGAGTACGGTGGATTGTTGCCGGTTTTCCCTGATTTGCCTAGATGTTGTGACGGGGGCACCCGGTAGTAGATCCACGATGGGCCACGGCAGAAATTCGTCACTGTCGTCCCAGGAAGTTTGGCCATTTGAGGCACGATCTGGACTCCAGAGGATCCATTCCCAATAACCGCAATCCTTTTGTGGGAATAGTCGTAGCTGTGGTCCCAATCGGCCGAGTGCACACGCTGACCTTTGAAATTCTCGATGCCAGGAATTGTTGGCCATTGGTAGGTACTGACGGAATGATTAGTTGCGATGCTCTAGTCAAGCGAGGTACTCACTCAAGGACTCCCTGTCCGGATATCAGGACATCCGCCCATTCTTGTCGACTTTGTCCACCGTGCTCCACCGTCAAACACCACTGCCCTCGCGACTCCTCCCAGACCGCTTTCTTAACTGTCGAGTTGAACTGTATGTCTCGATCCAGGTTCCACTTTTTGGTGGTTTTGACAATGTACTCCTGGATCTCTGCCCCACTTGAGTAGAACCGACTCCATTCTGGGTTTGGATCAAAAGGAAATGCCTGGAGAAGGCATCTCTCAATTTCACTGGTCATGGATATTGGCAAAGGGGGTAGACTTACATAGATATGGGATGGGACGTCACATTGAACCCCGGGGTATGTGTTGACCAACCAAGTCCCGCCTACCTCACTCCTTTTCTCAAAGATGGTATGGTCGATCATTTTATCCATTTCTGGGAAGCGATGTTGAAATTTATGGGCCATCATGAGGCCAGAAAATCCAGCGCCCACTGTAATGACTCGAAGTGGGCGAGGAGTGAAAGCCAGTTGCTCACCCATAGGGATTGAATATCGACTATTTGAGGGAGTATCGTAATACCCATTCGGCTCCGATGAGAGTGATTTCGAGCTGTCTGCCACGTTCTGCTTGGCTGCCACGTCTTCAAAGGGCAGATGTCCGTCCAGAACTTTGTGGGTGGCTGATTGTTCTCCGCCTGGGCTGACGGCCGCAATGGGTGTCAACTGCTCCTCGGTCAAAGCCATGTTTGGAAGGGATGTCTAATTTCTTCCTCAGCAAAGTCAAGGCAACTCGTTCTGTGTTTGCCTGGGGCCCAACAAACGTTCGAGACCTCCAGTCTATATTCTAACCCGGGTCTTGCTCCTCTCCGTCGCCGTCAGGTGTTCTTCCGCCTGTTCATCCATCGTATCTTCTAACGCATCCAATAGGCATTTTCCATTTTCGTGCAAACCGAGGCCGGGAAAGACTCTGGCGAGTGTCATGGAAGCAATAGGCTGGCGTTGCATCATGGGAGTATTCCCGTTGTTGAGGGTTTCTCGTAGCCGTCAGCCTTGTCAGTTCGGCAGAGTTCTTACTGGATAGTCACTGCCGCGGCACCAACTCGACCACGGCAGTTTCGCACCATTTGGGATTGTCGTCCCCCAAGTTGCCACTCGACAGTATTGAGCCGTCCCATTTCCAATTCTGAGTGCGGAGATGGGCAGCGTTAAGTATGGGGAAAATCATGAACAGTGCCATCCTTACTCCAACCACGTCGTGACACAAATACTCTTACCATTTCATATGTCAGCCGGCGAGCAATTCCTAGCATTCAGAACTCATCAAGGTAAAAGTCAGCAGCGTCATAGTTCAAAAACAAAATATCCGGACCTCAACATGGCATCTCAACCTTATGAATACACCGGGCCCGTGGATTGCAGCATTGTCCCCGACAAGAGTCAGTGCAAAGGAAAGAGTGTTGTTGTCACGGGGGGTAAGCAAATAGCCCCAACGCAACGTTTCCTTTGTCAGGACCTGGGCTGCATCCCATCTATCTACTCAAGCGCATTCATATTCACTTAAGCAGGTGCTAGCGGCTTAGGCGAGGCATATGTCCGAGCATTTGTCGATGCAGGGTAGGCCTTTGACGGAATTCACGACCGCACGCAACACTGACGAGTTGACAATCAGGGCCTTTGTAACTTTTTGCGATATCAACGAGGACAAGGGAAAAGCGGTTGAGGCAGAACTGACTTCGTAAGGCTTTCTACCACCGAGTTGACGCAAGACTGATCAATTGTCCCTTCAAGGCAACATGTCTGTTTCGTCAAGTGTGACACAAGATCTTGGGATGATCAAGTTCGATTGTTTGAAGCCGCCATCTCGCAATCTCCTGAGAAATCGCTTGATATTGTGATTGCAAACGCAGGAGTTGGAAGGGGAGCGGGTGATCCTCTGATGCAATTGGAAGGTAAGAAGGAACTCCAGCCTCTTTGGACTGTTCATCTGGAGGATACACTAACCCATCTTGCTTGGTTCAGACCCATTTTCCACACCGACGAAACCAAGCCTCCATATAATCGACATCAATCTAGTCGGCGTTTTGTACACGTTCAAGCTAGCTGTCCACTATTTCCGTCGGTGTCCACAGGATGCTCCTAGAGATCGTTGCTTTATTTTCATCGGAAGTATTGCTGGCATTGTGGATAATCTGGTGATCCCCTTCTCCTATGAAACAGTTGTTTGAGCCTTTCTCACAGGCCAAATAGGGCAGCTGGGAGTATTCGACCGCTAAGTTCGGCCTCCGAGGCCTCATGAGAACTGTCAGAAGGCATTCATACCATCAGGGGATCAGAGTGGCATATATTGCCCCCTAGTAAGCCGTTTGACCTTTGGGCCTATGAAATTTGACTGAATTCTGGACAGTTATGTGCGCACAGTCATACAATCTGCCGCGACATATGAGTCAATGCTGTCCAAGGGGATTGAATTTGCGGCAGTGGACAGCTGCGTCGCTGCAATTATGAGGGTCTCATGCGACAAAGGGATAAACGGTGAGCAATCGCAAGCGCTTGCCATCATATATATCGCGACCTTGGAGTTTCCACACTGACCCAGGTATTAGGCCACTCTTTCGTGATTGTGCCATACTCAGTTGCAAAGGAAGGGTTCAAAGACGCCGAAGAAGATGACTGGACGGACGAGAACTATTGGCTGCAAAAGTTCCAGAGGCTCGTAGTGACTGCGAGGGGAGATGCGTGGAGCTAGGAGATCAAAATCTGACAGCAATCTGCCGCGGAGACTCTTTCCTGCTGTTATTGCATGAACCTTATTGACCACATAAGGAGCACAAAAACAATGCAGAGTTTGAATGACATGGCTGAAGACGAGAAAAACTGACAGGAAGAATGCATTACTTGTTACCTCCATGGTTCCTCTGGGGTCCTTAACTTGGTGTCACATGACAAAACCACGTGATATGCTAGGCCATTCATGCACTAGCGTTGAAGCACCTCTTTCCTGTCGCTTGAGCTACAAGTACAGAGCCATTACTTGTACCCTGTTCCTCGTAGTCGAGTCCCTCAGCCTCGCCTCTCTCCTTTCCCTTGTGATTCCCAGATACTGGCAGGCAGATACTCAACGAAGGCTATGCTCCCAATTCCGTCATGGTGTCAACCGTTTCTTGCTCGCTACCGAGATATCTTGGACTGGGTGTTCTTCAGCCGGGTTGCAAGCGTCCAGACCTTCTTCCTTGGCACATTTGAACTACTAGCACTTGCGATGCGCAGTCGCAAGAATACTCTCGGCCGAACGCTCGCAATGTCTCGTTATAATGGATGCAAATTCTCTGGGAAAGACTTCCCTATTGGGGTTGGCTTGATGTTGAACAGCCAGAAAACAGCTTGTGTCCTGTGGACAGCACTTCAGCTCCACATCAATCGACACTCCATGAGTTGACGCAAGGTTGTTCTCCCTGATCCGTATTCGGTGCGTCCAGGCACCCCGGCATCGCGGTTGGCAAAGCGGTTGAAGCCAGGCCGAAGGCTCTAAATAGCCGCATCACCGTAACGGCAAGAGCAGCCAATTGAAACTGGTGGCGAAATGAATCATTGCGAGCCATAATTGGACCACAGCTACCGGCCCTCCGACGTGAATGCCGAAAAAGTTCTATTTGGTGTTGGGGGCCAAGTAGTACCACCGACCAAGCGCTCATCGAGTGCCGCATGGAGGTAAAGTTTTGCTCATGTCTTAGACCCTTCGTCAGATACCCCGGATTATAAGTTCCCCAGAGCACCCAGCCTGAGACCTTGCGGGGGACCAGAGCTGGGATATCATTCCTGCCAGCCCAACTTCCAGAATGGAGCAATTCCAGGTAGTAGGTGAAAAGACCCAGAGCAATATCCATGTCGAACACACCTCAACATCGGAGGTCAGCCCTGATAGTGACGACCAAACTGTGGTGGTTGAAGACGAGATCTTCCAAGGCATCAACCGTCAAACCATCTTGGCTTTTTTGGTCGGTCCCGTCGTCTCCTGCCAAAAGCATACCGCTAACAACGTGATTTGTAGGCTATCTGTGGTCAATTGACCGCCTATGAAATGACCTTACTGATTCCAGCATCAGCGGCCTCTTATATCAATGCCGAACTCGGTCCCGACCCAGACTATGTATGGATCAACGTGTCGTGGGGGCTCGGTGCCGCCGTTCTGGTGAGCGTGGGTGGTCGCCTTTCCGATATATTCGGTCGCCGCTATTTCATGCTCTGTGGAGCTTTCATTGCCTTTATCGGTACCATTGTCGGTGCCACTGGCCGAAGTATTGGCCAGATGATTGCAAGCGGTGTACTGTTTGGAATCGGCTCTGGGTTCCAGGAGATGGGCTTCGCTTGCATTATGGAATTTATTCCCAATAAATACCGGCTGACCGCTCTTGGTAAGTTCGAAAGAGGAGAATCCAATTACGTCATTTGATCTCGCTAATATCAAAAGGACTATACGGTACCAGCGGTATTTTCTGCCTCATGAGCCCCCTCATAACCTATGCTTTCATCGCCCACGAACGCATTGGCTGGCGAGGTGCATATTGGTATATGTGTGCCTTCCACGGCTGTGCAGGAATTTTTCTCTTCTGCTTCTACCATCCCCCTACTTTCGAAACAAAGCACAAAGAGGACCGCGTTTCCAGATGGAAGTTGGTTGCTGAAATGGATTATATCGGCTTATTCCTGTTTATCGCTGGCTGCACTCTGTTTCTCGTAGGCTTGAACTTCGGAGGCAGGCAATACCCCTGGAAGTCACCTGCAGTCATTGGCCCCATTGTTGTGGGATTCATGTTGCTCGTACTTCTCTTTGTTTGGGTTTTTAACGCCAACTTGAAGTACCCGTTACTTCCACCAAAACTTTTCAGACAATGGAGAAGGTAAGTTACTTCTGTGTCTTGATAACTGCCATCTAGCCTGACTGTCTGCTTCAGATACAACCTTCTCGTTCTTGTAGGATTTTGTTGTGGCATGCTCTACTACAGTATGCAGGTCTTATGGCCTCGTCAATCTGGTCTCCTGTTTGTGCCTGCGGACGATCCAATCATGCGCGGAGTCTATGCAAATTTGACCACATGGGGCACCTGGAGTGAGTAGGCACCACTTGCAACACAAAGATTCTGAGATTCATGGCTGACTTGATACAGTCTCTCTGATTTCTGTATGGCTCATCTGTGCAAGATTTGGCCACGAGAAGTGGCAGATCCTCATATTCATATGCTGTCAAGTAGCCTTTGTCGGCGGTCTGTCGTCTGTCGGTGTGTCCGACAAGGCCAAGGCAGTTGCTCTGGTATTCCTGATGTCTTGCGTCATCAATCAACCACTATACATGCTTTTCAACATGGTGTCACTCAACATTGAGGACCAAGCAGATATGTGAGTTATGACAGAGCTTGATCTGATTCATAAAAAGTGTAATTACTAACCTAACCCTCGCTAAGGGGCATTGCCATTGGCGCTCTGTCTACCTTTCGTCTCCTAGGCGGTGCCGTTGCAACAGCGATATACTCTTCAATCGTCGACAACCAGTTCAAAGAGAATCTACCGGGGAAGATCGCAGATGCCATTGCCGGTACAGGCTTCGTCAGTTCAAATCTGACGCTATTGATCCAAGCTGCGGCAGCGAACACAGCAACTGCATATGCAAAAGTTCCCGGGATTACAGCCCAAATAATAAGTGCCAGCCAGTTTGCCGTCAAACTGGCCTACGTGCAAGCGTACAAAGTGGTCTACTATACGGCTCTTGGTTTCGCGGTTCTGGCAATCATCAGCGCCATGCTCGTGCCAAACGTCGACCCGGCCAAGAAAACCATGGAGAAAGCAGTGCTTCTGGAAAACGAGAAAACCAAGACAGTTGTGGTGGAGACTGAGAAGAAGGCCAAAGACGCCATTGAGAAAGTCTGATCAGCCCGGAACGTGGCAGCGGTAATTGCTTCAGCCGTTGTTTGACGGAAAAGCCCTTGATAGTAAAGACCACTGTGGTATTTGACATGCTGGCTGAGGCTTGTCGGGTGCTGAGAAACCACAGAAGGTGCAACTTGTCGAAGAGTAAAAGTTGATCTTACCGGCCCTGGAAAGACGCCGAGGTCTGTTAGTTAACGCGCCGTCTCACGATATTGTTTTCTACATTGGCGAATATAAGTGACTTTCAACAGCTTTCATCCTACCATAGATTTGACTTTAGGGTGACGGTGCCATCAAGGCTCAATAAGATCGATATCATTCATGCTGCCCAGTGTTCGTAAAGATGTCGCAAGGATGAAGAGGATTGAATTCAAAGGCTCATAGGTTCTTGTCAAAGAGTCTGCAACTCATAGGCCTTGGCTTGGAGGTCTTCTGATTTTGATTTCATCAACATGGATCGGAAACGTATTACCTTCTCATCTCCACGTCTGGAGGGCAAGCAATTCAAACAAACGAGCACATGTCTTTGCATCCTTCAACCTGCGACATTCCCCAAGCATCTGATCCACGGTATTGGGATCAAAGATAGCCGCTGCTTCTTTCCTGAATCTGGATTCAACGGCCTCCCCTTCCAACCATGGGACATCTGCCAGAGAATGTTGATATACTGTCCCATCTTGGTTCCGGATTTCAATGCGACAGGGCTGCTCTCCTCTCGATAGGGCCCCATCGTACTTGACATCAGTAGCAAGAGTACACTTGCGAATGAGACTTTGCAAATCCCCATTGTCATACTGGATATAGGCAAATTCATCGATTCGGCCGAATAGCAATGCTGCCGAGACCCCATATTGTAGACTCATCTTTGTTTGCTGGACCTTTTCAAAGGGCCCACTGCTGTCGCAGCCGGGATAATCCTTCGCAGCAGTTGTCGTGACAATGCCAATGCTTTCGATGTTCTGACCTGAACCGTGTATTTGTGGAGCGAGATTCAGAGCCACAGCAAGAGGGGTTTGTATCATGTTGCAACCTGCCACAGGCTTGAACCTGGCGCCCGTGATGCCGGCTCCAGGATCGGTTGTCGCCAGCCAATTCCTGAACTCTTCTACACTGCCAGGACCGCATCCATAGGCCAAGAAGAAGCCATCTTTACCTTCCAATACCGTGTCACTGCTGTATATGCCCGCTCTTGCTAGGTCTAGGGCACTGATACCATTGCGGCTACATATGCCCATCTGAGTGTTGATCTCAGTTCCGCCGGCCCAAGGCCATTCGTTCAAGCCTGCGCCCATGTTGGCTCCCAAGCTCAAAGCACTTGCGGCGACGCTGGTACTCATACTGGCATCTGCCACAATTCCGGGCGCAGCAGCGCCAAAAGCTCCAATCATTCCACTTGGACGGAAATGTGGATTGCAGAGGCCCGCATGGCGAACCGCCGAGCCAAGGGCCACAGCCAACTCGTAGCCACCCACGATGCCTTTCAAAAGTTGCTCACCTGTCCAGTCGTCTCGCTGGGCAAGTGCTAGCGCGGTGGGAATCACCATGACGCCTATATGGGCACCTGCTGCCAGGTGCATGTCATCGCGTATGATGCTGTCGAAAGCCAGTCAGCCCATAGGTCAGCTCCACGAACGTCCTGAGAGGCCAGTGTCGCCCGTACAGTGACAAACCTGTGAGCGAGGGCAGCATTGGTGAAAGCAGCCACATCAGCCGACACAAGCGACTTCAGGCCCATGACATGAGCATCCCCTCGGCCTGAAGACGCTCCTTGAGCATACTTCAAGAGCGCGGCACTCCAAGGAGTAGACAGCCCCGAGACCAGGG